ACCTCTCCCCCAACTCCCCAACACCCCTTCCATCACATATTTCCTGCACCTCCCATCACTTTTCCCCAGCGCTCTCCAATCATGATCCCTTCCCATCTCTGCAGCCGCCCCTCCTTCTCCAATTTCCTCTGCATCGTATCTCTTACCTCCAATTCTGGCACGGCAAAACTGTAGAATGGTGACGGGGCAGGGATATCCTATGTCCCAGTTTCCCTCACTTGCTTCTGAGCTGGCGACTATTCCTTCTTCATGCTGCGCTGTAAGCTGGCGGAAGGTATTCCCAGTACATCAGCGTTTACCGGGACTCCCACTGGGCGTACAGCGCATGCAGGGTTACTTGGCGACCGCAGGCAAGTCTGGCAGGCGCGAGGCCTTAGGCACCCGCCTAACTCGCCTAATTAGAGAGCCGCCTCTGAGTACTAGCTAGCTCAGTTAATTTTTTTAAAAATCTGGATGCATTCCTAAGTGATCAGAATATAATTAGATATAAACATTTTATAAGTAAAAAAGCGCCAGGTCTTGCTGATCCAGGGCTAAATGTCTTAGGGGATCAGGAAGGAATCGTTTTTCTTCTGTTGGAGCAAATTGAACCATGTTTTAGGGTCTTTTTTTTTTTTGTCTTCCTCTGGATCAACTGTGGGTAACTGTGGACATAAGGTTGTTTATGGAGGTTTTTCTATAGGCTAAGCTCAATGGACTTGTAACTACTATGTAACTATGTAATAAGAAATGCAAGAATGCAATCAGAGCTGCTAAAATAGATTATGAGAAGCACATTACCACAGAAAGCAAGAAAACCTGAAAAAGTTCTATAAAAATACCAACACTCCCACTCCCTGGCTCTCTGGGATCGGATATGGCAGTCTCACACGTTAGCTTCTCTGCATACTCCCCTAGCCCCAACCTTTCACAATCCTATTTTCCCACTCGGCTAGCAAACCAAACTATTTCAATGGTGGCAGAATAAAGGGTTATACAGGATTGGTCACTACTTTAACATAGAGAAACCCTCGTCACTTGCTTACTGTAGGGAAAGGTTGAGAATGCCCCACTTAGAACTATTTAGATTCCATCTAATCTCCCATTTTCAGCACTCCCTTGCCTCGCGGGCTGAACCCCCTCCTACTCTCACTCTCTATGAACGCTGGTGTACTCAATCCACAGGTTGGAGAGGGGGCATATTAGTAATATATTCAATGTAACTAGGTGCTCCTTCTAAACTAACTTATATGTTGGCCTGGGAATATGACCTTGGCCTGACCTATTCGGAGGAAATATGGAGTCAACGCTGCCTGTGTGCGTTTTGTGGCATACTTAATGTATCCTCAATTGAGGCAAACTACAAGGTGCTCTCTAGGTGGTACCTGGTTCCTGCAAAATTAGCATCCATGTATCCCAGAGCCTTTCCATTTTGTTTTAGTGGCTGTGAACTCTGGGGCACAGTCGTACACACTTGATGGTCATGTCCCAGGATCTGGAGTTTCTGGAACAGAGTTTTTGCTCTCATTATCAAAGTTACAGGCGTCCAGGTGCCCAGGAACCCCAGATATGCCCTTCTTGATGACTGGGCTTCCGTAAACTCAAAACATCAAAGCAAATTGATCCACTTTGTTTCTAGCTGCCAAGATTTCCATTGTCAAACCTTGGAAAACCCCTAGAGTCCCTTTAGCAATTATCCTGGATTATGACCCATGAACAACTATCTATAATTCTTTAAATTAAACAATTGCGCTTTGAACTAACCTGGGACACCGGGACAGACACTTGTATTACAATGTGCACTCTAATAGCTTTGGTCTCTTCTCCACAGTCACAGGCTCAGTATTCTAACTGAAGATGCATAAGCAGTATTTCTCTCATTGTTGTACTGGTTTAATCTATACTACTGCTACAGTTTATAATCTTGACACCTGCTTGCTTATGATTGTACTTGTTATTATATTTTACTCCTTTGATACGATTGTTACGCTTGATCTTTTCACACTACACTGTGTTGTTTAGAGGTGCACCGAGATGGAATTTTCTGACTGAAACCGAAAATAAAAAAAATTGTCAGGCCAAAACTGAAATTAGTTTTTTTATAAGCTTTTAAATTATTTTAATTTTTTTTCTTTTTTTAATTTATTAATATATTTTTTAACTTTACTGTTGGGGGGCTTCGGGGAAATATTGGAGGTCTAAACCCCTGATATTTCCCTTTTAAAATAGATAAAGAGATTGAGGATGCAATCTCTTTTTCTGCAGCTCCTGTTATGAATGAAGATGAATCTCCTATACTGAGAGTGTTCCTGTTCATTCATAACTTGTGGAGATAGTGTGTTTACCATGTCTACAATCATGAATAAACGGGAAGTAATGTAGAGCATTACTTGTGGACACAGTAAACATACTATGTCCTCAATTCTTTACAAACTGCTTGTAACCGCTCTCCATCCTGACTCGCTGTCACACGAGACCGAGCGGGTGGTGCGAAGAGGAAAGCCTGGTCTCATTTGACAGCTGACATGGCTGCTCACAGCTGGGTGGAGGAGAGCCCAGCCTCATGTGAAACGCCGCTCACAGCGCTCTCGGCCTCCTGACAGTTTCTCTTCTCCCCGCAGGACGCTGCTCTGTATAAGAGGTGGCCCAGCGAGGAGAGAAATTACTGATGCACTGCAATGTCGGCCGAAAGATGGTACTTTCAGCATTTTGCCAAAGGTGCCATTTGCTGCCAATATGTTTTGGTGGCCAAAAAGTGGTCCAAAACAGACTAAAAAGAGCTAAATATGAACAAGTCACCAGGGCCTGATGGCTTGCATTCAAGAATCCTAAGGGAACTTAGCTTAGTGATAGCCCAGCCACTCCTCCTAATTTTTAAAAATCCTAATGACTGGAATGGTACTGACTAATTGGTGTAGCACAAATGTATTTTGTACAGACAAAACAGCCTAACATCAATAGTTTGCTTAGGAACGCTATTTAAAAATTTGTTATAGAAAAGGATATAGCAATCTACATGGATTTAAGAAAAATACTTTTGAAATTGTTAAAGTATTAAAGTAGGTTCTAAAAAAGCAAACATTTTGTGTGCTGATAAGCCTATATAATGGAAGAGTTTTCAGGCTTTTCAAAGGATCCTTTGTCTTGAGGTTAATGTGTGCCTGTGAGACTCTTGCTTGTTGTACATTAATTAAGGCATATTTGTGGGTACTAGGCCTATGGCATATCATGTATACTGTAGTAGTTCTATTTACCAAGCCTTTTTAAGTCAAGCTCAACTCTCAGCACATTGTGACCATATACTCTGTGGCTTTTTTTTCTTCAAGGATGCCCCCAGGTCTTTCACAATCCTAGTGAGGCCCCTGCCAATGCAAATGTAGTTGTAAAGGAAATAAATGAACCCATTGCAGTCATTGATATAGTAGTAAAACAGAGGTTGTCACACACATACTTAATAGCAATAAACTTGACAACACAGTATGGTGGTGGCTGGCTGTTGATATTTATTTCCTGTAATATCCACAAGTTTATTTTCATGGCTGTGTAAAGTGCAGACTAGTTCACCAAGCTTCAAAAGAACAAAGTGGTTTTTTTTTTATTGTTTTTTTTACACACAGGATAGATAAAAAGGTAAAAATGATAGAAAAATACTTTTCTGTGAGACCTCTAACACATTGTTCACTGATACCTGCATGCTTGTCAACTGTAGAAAAGAAAATTAATCTTGAACCTGTTAATTATTAAGAAACAATACACTACTCTCCCAAGTCCATTGACAGCAAGTAATGCATATTCATTTATTTAAAAAATAATACTTAAAACAATAATTGTAACATGCATTTTTTCAAAGAAAATGTAGTTCTACCTCTCAGCATTACTATATATCGCTGGCAGAAAAATTATAGCAATGCAAGTGGACCTGTCATTTTCCAAACCAAAGTGATATGTCCTAAATAAGATTAACAGTTTCAATTATCTGGCTCCTTTGGGCTTTTATGTTCTCTTCAGTCATTTTAAAAGTTGTCTCAAGACAATATTAATAAAAAAGAGAGTTTAAAGGTACACTCCAGTATTAGAAGAAATAAAGCATTGATATGCATACAGAGAACTGTTTAGTATTTCAGTTTTACATCCAAATATTGTACTGCACCATCTCACCCCTCTCCCCTCCTGGTTTCTTGCAAGGCCTATGGTAAAACAATATGAGTACTAAGATGTTCCTCACAGCCACCAATCAGGTTCAAACCTGCCTTGGAATGTTTAATGACTGGGGATGTAGCTTCCGCAGCATTGGCAGTGGGTGGTCCTCTTTATTGGATAGAACAAGGCTCACATTGTGACAGCATCATCCTGTGTGCCCAGCCTGCTCACACACCCCTATGGAGTGTGTCCATGATGGCTTAGGCTCATTTAACCAGGTAGGGGACTGAGGTGGGCGAGGATACAAAGAGCAATGCTGGCATGTGGAGTGAGTGGTGCTTTAAAGGGGGAGCGAAGGATTGTTTTTATACAACAAAATATTAACTGGACATAGACTTTAAGATCTAGCAGGATCTCTTTACATATGTGGAAAACTGCTCGACAAAAAGGTTTTGCAGTAAATCAGTCATGGCATTGATGACTGACTAAAATCTCACTATTGTTAGTACTGTTCAGAGCGCTGATAATTTCTGTTAACATTTGATCAGTAAACTCATCCAAACCCAGGTAAAATGTAATTTGTGTAATGCCTCCATATTGTTTTTTTTTAATTTTTGTTCATCAGCTAATAATATAAAAAATAATGTTCCTAAAATAAAAATAAAAATAAGCTGATAATATCCCTTTATATCTGAGACTAATACTAGGGCAGCCTTTCTCAACTAGGGAGCCATCCAGAGAAGAAACTTTTCAACATATTCACAAAAATGTATGAAAACTGCATACAGTGAGGCATAATACCAAACATACTAAAAACTGGAACTTGGGTGTACATACACTTTAGGAATAGGCTTGTACTATACTGCTTGTACAGATCAAAGAAAGGAAATAAAAACTATATTTGCTTCAGAAAATGTGACAGATCCACTCTAAAGCTTTGCTGCCAGGGAGACATCTAGACCATGGCTCATCAAAATTCTAAAGAGGCGTAACTGACGAGTACTTGAACTTCCAGCACATAAAATATTTATCAGTGAATACTGGTAACTCGAGAAGCACTTAATGTCATATATTAACAGTGCAGTGTTATCATCATACAGTGCATCCATTTAATCATATTTAGTCCCCGTCCCCCCAACACACAGATTGCACCAACATGAATTCCAGTCTTTTCCGAATACTCATAACAAGTCATAATTTGTGTATATGCTGTTTGTTCAGAAATATCTCAGTACATTTCATAGTAGCAAAAAAATCACACTGTAATAATACATTTACAACAAAAAATAAACATGAAAATGTGCAGTAACAACTTATGATCTGCGTAGAGCTTGTACATAAAAGGTGTTCAGATTCACTGGGATTATATAGATTGCACTATAAATGTAGCTGTTACTAGACACGTGCATTCGGATTCGGACGAAATTCAATTGATTCGGCGGTTTGTCTGAATCCGAAATAGCAAATTTATTATATGCCCGATAATACGAACACTATATTCAGGCATACATAAATTCGGTTACAGAATACGCGGCGGGCATATTGGCCGCCGCCGTGTTCTGTGCATGCCCGCCGCCATCTTAGAGGCAGAGCGAATGACGTTGCCTGTGAATCAGCATAAACATTTGTTTGCTTTTATGAAACGAATGAAATAGTTTTTCGTTTTAATTTGTTTAGTCCGAATTTATTTTTTTTGCCGTGCACATGTCTAGTTGTTACCATACCCTTTGTTGCTGGAGTAAGAAGTTATTTACTATGCATAAATAATAATGTAATACAAAATAAACTTTGCTGATACCATGTTCACATGACCTTCAAGCTCTACTGAACAGTTGTGGTTTATAACGGCACTCTTACTTTTTAAGCTGCGAATTTGGCAGTGAGGGTTTTAATACTCTGTGCTGGCAGCACATAGAAGTGTCGGACTGCTCTCTCTCACACACACACACAGCAGCGGCCTGGCTCTCCAGATTCACCCAGAAACATTGTTCTGGTCAACAGCTCTTACTCCCTGGACAGCTTTGTGGGTGAGAGCTGCGGGTCTGACTCTCCTAAATGCTGCTAACACAGGATACCCTTCCGGCAGCACTTAGCAGTTGCATTACAGTAATAAATCACAAGGGTTCAGCTGGGCTTTGAACTTCTGTAAGAACAGTGTTTACAGCAAACTTTTGAACAGCATTTGGAAAGCTTTAGCAGCTATTTTAAAGCCTATGAAGCACCCTATAGCTCCAGCTTGTGGAGTTAAGCACATATCTTAATGAGAATTGCGACTGTCACTTTAAACAAAACTGCTAGCAGGCTTCAGTACAGAAAGCCTGCTGAAGCCTGCTAACTGAATGTTTAAGGCCCCATTCACACTAAGCGACATACCTTTTGGCCAGGATATCGCGACTTTCGGGGCGACGTTCCAGCAACGGTAGCGCGACTTTCACCGTCGGGCTGCATTAAAAAAAAGAAAAATTGCACAAAATCCGCCGAAAAAAGGGTCCTGTAGGAGCAACTTGCGACCGCGACAAGCAACGGACGACATGGAGCTGTACATTACGACAGCTCTATTGAAAATCATTGCGTGGCAAAAATGCCCGATATCGCGGCGGAAATCACGCGGCAATCCGCTTAGTGTGAAAGGGGCCTAAAGCTGAATGCATTTAAAATGCAGCTCAGTAGTCATTGCATCATCATTAACCACTTCAAGTCCGCGGTGTTAAACTCCCTTCCCATCCAGGCCATTTTTCAGTATTTAGCCCTGCGGTACTTTGATTGACATTTATTCCGTCATGCAACGCTGTACTGAAATAAATTTTATACCATTTTTTAGGGACAGATAGACGTCAGGTAAAAAGACACCAAACATGTCAAGCCTTAAAATTGCGTGCGCGCGCGAAACCTCAAAAAACTACAATAACCATAATTGGCCATAGGCGACGCTTTAAAAGCTTTTACCGCTCATCAGTTTAGTGTTATCAGTGATTGATGGCCCTAAAATGATTGCTCTCACTGCGACGTTCGCCGCGATATGTAACATGTGTAGCGCAATTGTAATTTTCGCATGCTGGCGTCGCGGACGTGTATTTACGTTTATATGTGCGTAAATGCGGGGGTGGGGGACTTAAAAATTTGTTTTTTTAAAAAAAACTTTGTGACTTTTATTTATTTTTTTACTCTTTTTATGGGTTTTTTTTACACTTAATGTCATTGCTATTACATAGGGGGATTACAATCCCCCTATATAATAGCAAAGGCACACTGACAGGTCCTCTTTATGGAGACATTAGGGATCTCTTAAGATCCCTAATGTCACATGGAGACCGCAAAAGAAGCTGATGAAGCACAGATCTGCTTCATCAGCTTCTTCTCTCTGGCTATAGCAGCCAGATGACTGACAAGTGAATGCGGAAGTGATGTAATACACATCATTGCCGCATTCACACTACGGATGGAGCTCAGCAAGGAGGAAGATGCTGACCTCCCTCCCATCTTCCTCCTGAGCCGGGCCGCAAATGGGGCAGCGGATCCCGGGATTGAAGGTGAGGGGACAGGAGGGGGGGGGGGCGGGGGCGGATCTCGAGGGGGGTCACGGAGCCAGCACTCACACGCGATCGGTAGGCTATAGAACCGCCGATCATGTGTATGTGAAACAGCCGGTAACGGCTCTTTGCATTGAAAGGGCTTTTTCTACCCGTGCACAAGCAGAAAAAAAATGCCGCCTGGAGGCGGCAACCCGCAAATGCGAGTCCGCCGTCCGTCCGTTTTTTGCAATGGGCGGACGGCAACAGGTTAAATGTATTTTTAAATGCAAGTAAGTACCTGAATTTGACTTGGTAATCTGCCTCTTGTGGTCTACTGTACAGTAGAGCTCAGAGAGAGGGAAGGAGGAGCAGCAGAACGGTCCAATAATTTGTGCTGTGGTGCAAGGAACATGCAGATGGAGGGAAACCAGAGTGGCAAGGAGATGAGCTCATCAGTGTGCTGAATTTCTTTTTACTGTGCAGTCACAGGCTGGGTCCAGAGAGGAGACCTTTGAAAGGTAAAAGTGAAACTGCAAAAGAGAAATGTCAGGTCCACTCCCCTGCCAGGCAGGACTGTGCTGCATAGCAGAGCTGTGTGTATCTCAGGACTGGACAGATGGAAATACAAATCTTTGGCAGGTAACACAACTATTATATATGTATTTCATCTGTGTAATTAGCTTTATCACAGACTGGGTCCGGGGAGGAGAATTAGCAGGTCTAATAGGGAAATGTAAAACTCGCAGTGGTCCATAATCGTTGTACTGGAGTAAGAGCTGGAGATGGTAAAGGCTTCAACAAAACTGCTCGCAGCTTTCCAAATGCACTAAATGTATAACCGCTAGCTGTGCACACCGCTCCTAAACAAGCTGAAACCCATGTAAACAGGATGTCACTGTAGAATGAATTTACAAGGACACTAGCACTGGTATAACTACATACTACAGACATTTCCAGCAATCAGAAACTTCACACGGCTTTCATTTAAAAAACCCCCAAAACAAATAGCTGCTGGAGAACCCGTTTCAGAAGTTCAAGTGATAATACATTTTTCTTAAGCTGCCCATATACAATAAAAATGTTTGAAAAATCAAAATGTGATTTGAAATAAACACACTATGAATACGCCTATCACACAGCTTGAAGGTCCTATTCACAGTTCACACCATAACGTTGAGATTTTTGCAGTGCACAGCAGCCGGCAGGTGCTTTGGAGCACCATTCAAATAAATGGCAACCCAACACACGGTAATGCACGCTAGGTGCACTCTGTGATAACATGCGTTAATCGTACGGTATTGCATGATTAAGCAACACTATGGTGTGAATGGGCCCTTAAAGGATTATTCCACACAACTGCAGATTTCTCTTGCTAAGCTGACTCTGAAAGCAGATACAAGATGACTATTTACAAGTGTCCCTGTACTGTAATAGGCAGAACACGGTGACATACTACATGTGATGCTCTTGCCATTTGGTGTCACCTGATCATCACGCAGTGATGTTTTGTCAGTAGACAATTTTCTCTTGAATGAAGATACGTTTTAGGTTGAAAAAAAATATATAGCTTGGGGAATACTATTTTAGAGTCCCTTCACACATTTTCAATATGCTTTGCCAACGCACCACAGTGCATGAACTAGAAATTCCTATATGGGTTTTGTAATGTAGTGCACAGCACACGTGTAGGACTGCTCTGCAGTGTGGGTGCATTGACAGCTACCGTCCTTGTGCGTTGGTGTGCCATTCTAAATACATGACACCACAAAGCTGTTAATGCATGTTGTGATAATATACGGTAAAAAGTACATTTTAGCACATGGTAAACTGCTTGTTTTACCATGCATTACCTTAACGCATGATTGTGAACCCTTTCTTAAAAAGCAGTAGGACAACTTTATCCATGTCACATATGCCCTCATCACTCAAACAGAAGTATCTTGTTATAAAATATGTCAGACTCCTCCAGCAGCATTATATGCAGAACATCTAACACAGCATATTATTATTTCTATGAGAATGAATGGCCAGAGATTACTGATGGAGTCTAAAGGCACATATAGACATTACATTTGTCACCAGATCCTGTCCAAATTGGCATAGTCAATAGTAATCTAATGTTTGTGGGCACTTTAAAGCAATTTTTTTCTTACTCTAGATATATACAGTATGTGGACGTTATCATCCTAACATGTTCAATCTTAAAATGTTTACTTCTGTATATAATTTGTAAAAATAATGTCAGCCATATTAGCTTATATGGAGGTGCTCTATTAGCTCAATAATTCCAAAGATTACTTTAAGTATCTTTCAAAGTCCAGCTGAAGACAAAAGGTTTTTTGTTTATTTTGTTAAGTTTTTAATAGAGTGGGAACAGGTGAACAGCTCTTTTAGAAATAGTATCATATTTATATATGTCTATAGAATTTTATTTAGGGAATACCTGTTTATCTGGCCGTGAAAGTCCTTGTTCAGGTGCTTTCTGTTATGGGGTGACAACTGTCCTCCAGTTGCACTCCTGCAATAGGGACTGCAGGTTTCTGACAAACATTGCTCTGACATGATCTCCTGTTGTCACTATCAGGGAGCTGATCCAGAATGGTGTACAGCCAACACTGTAGTGAGCACATATAGACTGGAAGTGGCTAAAATGCCTCTGTTTATAATTCATAGTGCAGACATATTTTTTTTCGTTTAAAAACGGAATCAATTAGAAAAAATGTGTGAATCTTGGACGAATTTTGTGTGAAAAAATCACCCCTAATAAGGGGGAAATATACATTTTTCATGGGTGTCTCTGCAAAAATGTTAATAGATTAGGAATTAATGTTTAATCTTTGCATGTGCTCAACTGGGACTGATTTCCTATAATACTCAGAAATACAAATGCTCACTCATGTTAGCAGCCGTTATATTCATACAACGACAAGTTCTATTCCAATTTTCCTACTAACTTTTTATTTATATTGGTTAGGGATAAACAATCACCAAAAAGGAAATCTTAATCTGGCTGCACAAATGCCATGTACTGCAAATGGATTGGAGGGATGAGGTCCAGGACCACATGTAGGCTCTAGGCAGCCAGATATACATTTTCTGACATTTCTGATTTTGTTGTTGGCTTAAAACCTACAACCCCACTGTGTCTACTATGGCATGAAAGAAAAAAAGATACAGGAAGAAAGAAGTTTTGTATGGATATAAATTTACCTGTCATAAGATGTGTACAAAAATGATTTTCATGATGACATGCACAAATACAACATAAATGAATCTCAGCTCAATCTTTCGCAAAGAATGCAATAAGAAGAATGATGGTCTCCTGAAGTGAACATTTATCAATGTATGTACAATAAGAGAATGTGTAGTATACAGACTTTACGTAGTGCAGTATCCATTGTGCATGTGGGTACTATTAACTCCACATTTACTGTGCATTGGTTTTCTACTAAACAATGCAGAAAGAATAACCATGCATACATTATTTCATTCTCTAGCCTGAACTAAATAAATGGAAGCTGGAATCTGAGTGGTTGTAATGGACAAGACCTGCATCTGTTTCTGTCATAAATCCCATTCCCTACATCCAAAGGCATGTGCACACACAGTGAAGGGCAGAATCACTGTGCTACCTCAATATCAGCAAGGATCGGCATCCTGCTCAAGATATAATTGTGCAATAGCAGTAAGAGACTACACGTGAGACTAGGAAACATTCTGCTCCTTTAAATTTAAGCTGAACTTTAGACAGATATAAAAGACACAAATGAATACAACTCTGAATTTATTAATACTCCTTAGCAGTTTAAGCAGTGCCTTGCAATCCCCTGTAGAGCACAACTCAGACTGGGAGAAGGAGAAGCAGCACAAGCAGACAGTCAGTTGTGCTACAGTGCTAATGTCCTAACAAGGAGCATGTTGATAGGAGGAGAGAGCAGAATTACAGAGAGATAAGCTAATCAGTCTGTTGCTTCTCCTTTGTGGAGAAAAATCAAGTCTCCTGCCCTGCCAGACAGAGCTGTCCTGTTCGTAAATATCAGGACTGAATGGAAAGAAAAACACAGTATAAGAGCACCCACATATGCATTTCATTTGTGCAATTAGCGGTTTGCCTAGAGTTCAGCTTTAAATATCTCCAATCCCAGCAATTTTCCCTGATGCCTCACTGTTTTGTAAACATGGCCATTCCTGCTTAAAAAGGCAACAGAATAACTGTGCAGGAAAGTCAATTTTGCATACCTGCATTCTTTCATGAAGCCAAAGTAGACAGGAGAAACTTAAAGGTCATGGTGCTTGTGGAGGGGTTACAAGGCTAAGACTTTCACTTCCTCTGTCTGATTAGAACAGCTCCCTTCCTGAATGGCCCACTTTCTATAAGTTAAACTTGATAGCAATTTTCACCTGTTGCTGTTGCCAAAACAGTCCTTGTTTAAAACACCTACAGAACATTTCTACATGTTATAAATAATTAAACTACTATGTCACAAAGATGACCCAAAACTGAGCACCATAAGCTCCTGCTCTAAAGACCATTATGGAACTTTTAACAATGCCTTTTTTTAACCACATAAATCTGTGGTTAAAATATGTACGTAATCATAATAAGTGAAGTTTCATTACAATGTTTGTTTTACAGGAGGCTAAAATAGTTATATGATATGATACCATGTGCATGTACATGAACACCACAAACCACTTCCAAGGGAGCAAGTGGGGATGTTGATTAAGCAAGCAAAGTGTATCACTGTTTTCTGCTTGAGGAACCTTACACGGGTGCTCATACTGCACCTGAAGCAGTTTCGATTAAGACTTAAGCTCTAGGTTTAGTAGATCCACATCAAGACTATTTCCATTTTTAAAATAGTCATTAGAAAGTACAAGACATGTATATAAACTACTTACCCAAAGAAATACAATTGTATATTAAGTTCATTGATATTAAAGCCTTTAATTGAAAATATTTAAGCCTGAAATCTATCAGCAAACACTTTCATTAGAGCTAACAAACATTCTTTACAACTGTGTCATTTGCTTTGCAGCAAAAGTTTATGAACCTGAATCTCACTCAAATGTCTCCCACCGCTTTCGAAGCTGTTCTACTTTACCAGGTGTTGGTGTTACTGCTTGTTTGGTTTTACTGAGCAGCTCTTCAAAAGGATCATTGGGCTGACCTGGTTTGGAGGGGAGTAGGACTGGGTCTGATAATTTAGAAGGTCTGGGAGGGATGACTGGATATTCCCTGGGCTTGCCATCCTGGGGTTGAGTCATATGAAAAGTTCTTTGTCCTCCAGGACCACTGATAACAGATGGAACATTTTGAGTTGGTTCTAAGGTTGCGTGACTCTGATGCATTATTGGATTGGCTGGTGAACTTGAGGGTACTTGACTTAAAAGACTACTTCGTGAAAAACCCGGAACAGGACGTCGTTGACTGTGATAAAACACACTTCTGGTAAAAAGAGGGTTGGAAACAACCGGAGGAGTGAATGGCCGTGCTGCGATACCTATAATAGACACTGACTGGTCAGGTGGCATTACTTGTATAAATGGATTAAGTGGTGAATGCACAAATGGGGGTCGTGGGGTAGAGAAACCCAGCTGGTGAGGAAAAACTGTAGAAGCAAAATCACTTTGCAATGGAGCAAAGCATGGAGTACTGGAAGAATGAGATGCTTCGGTGCTCTGGATATTCCCAGCTACGGCTGACAAGCCTTCGCTATGTCTTTGACCTGTTTTTAAAGGATCCAAAAGACTTAGAATATCATCATTTAAGTAAACATCTGTGGCAACTTTAACGGGTTGCAGAAGGTCAACAGAACTGGAATCAGGAACCTGTCTGTTGCTGTCGGCTGCTAGCACTTCTGCAAAAGGTCCTATTGCTGTTTGAAGAGGGAAGCCAGTACTATCCCCAAGCTGTTTCCCTGGTTCTGTCGATGTTGATGCATTCTGCTGTTTAGAGAGTCTAGGTGCTGGCGGAGGTGGAACTATTCCCAGCTCTGGAGTCTTTCTTCCTTGTGGTCGTGGGATAGTGATACTGCTTTGGTTGCTGCTAGATGGTGCATCTTGTTCTATAGAGAGTAACTCCCTTTGTGGGGTGTTTGTGTCACTCCTGGGGAAGGTCTGGTATCGTTCTGGTGATGTTTGAATGTATTTATTTGGAATTGCCATATCATCCTGCCCCAAGCCCCACAATTTGTTGTAAGGGTGGCTGTGCTTTATTGTTGGCATCAAACGATTTCTCTCCGGGATTGAAAAATCCATTCTCTGCCAAAGAAGGACATTTGTGAATAAAGGTCAATCAAATATATTGTTTACAAATAAAACTATCAAAAATAGTCAAAGGCATAGGTCACAATACCAATATTGTGAAAGAGATTGGTAGCATCTGCTGATCTGCCTTCTAATTTTCTCTTTCAATTTGTGCCTGGCAAAGGAATTGCTGCTGGAACTGACTACAAGGCTTATCTAGGCAGCTTCAAATCAATGGGATGCCATGGCTATCAGCAGCTGCATTAAAGTACACCTAAAGGCTCCTGTGTGACAGTTAAAACAGGTCCTAAATCCAATTAATATGTGATGCACAAGCCTCAAAGTAAAAAAAAACAAAAACAAAAACCCTTTAGGTTCCCGGAGTAAGTCAAATCCTCATCATTTGTGCCTCACGTACCCCCTCCCCGATACTGCAGCTCATAGTAGGAGGGCTTCAGCAGCAGAGGCAGTGCTATCAATCTAGAAAGCAGTAGGCAGGGTTAGGTGTGGTCATCTGCTTACCTATTTGTGTGACTTGGGCAAGGCATGTGTAGTACATTCAAGTCCTTCTCCCCCATTGCCTGCTTCCCTCCTTGCACTAGTCAGCAATTACCAGCTCTCAAAATGATAGTGGAATGTTGCTGTGTAAATGGAGCTGCTGTAGAAGCTGCTGCTGTCAAAAATGGACCATCTGATACAGTGTTTATAAACACTGTTTAGATTCGAGTTAGAAAGATACAAAGTAACATTGTTACTTTTCTATCTACTTTGTTTCATTCATCTGCAGATCAAAACATTGATAACACATTTAAATACCACTCATGGTTAACACTGTTCACCACATAGCTTCTAAACATTGTAATTTTTTTTCAGTCAGTAGCATAAATTGTTCATTCACCTGATAATCAAATGTGAACTGGTCTTCATGGTCCTCTTTGGGAGTTCTAAGATCTTCAAGACTCTTGGCTTGATTCAGAAGTGGTGGCTGTGATGGTAGATCTATATTACTAAAAATATCCTCAAGAAGATTTATATCCTTATTTGGTTGTTCTTGTTCAGTGAAAGAGTCACCCTCCTTTTCTGGGCTGATCATTTCATCACCATCACTTGATTCCTTCAAGGTTCGATACTGCTGAGGCCTATCAAGTGCGAATAACTTAGGTTAGTGCTTCTGAAAAATGATAAACAACTTATAACAATAACATTAAACATCTATTCAGTTATATTTATCATTTAGTTCCTAAAAAAACATTTCTGTATCTCTAAATTGAAAAACAAAGTCAGCTATGTTGAAGTTGCTCTACATATAGTGAAAGGAGAGACAGTTGAAGACAGAGACCATTCAAAGGGAGCAGAGAAGATAAAGTTTTCAGAGAAGGCAGACACAGGATCTTCCTCCTGCAGGAACTCATCATCAGAGGAATCTTCAGAAAGGAAGACAGTATAGTGGCGTGTGGGCTTCACAACGCTGAGAAAATAGGAGAAGGTTGCAGTTAGTCCTCAAAAAATGTAACAAAGAATGAAAGATGCAGAGATTTGTGTATCTGCACAGCATACATAAAGACTAGCAATATACAACCCAGTAATAGCATGCAATAAAACATATTCAAGTATCACTTACAACCAGGGCCGGCCTTAGGCCTTTAGGCGCCCTGTGCGAGAAAGCTTTACAGCGCCCCTCAGCGACCACACCCCTCAGTGGCCACACCCTTTAGTGGCCACACCCCCAGTAACCACACCAATTTTTTCCAATATCCGCACCATTTAAAGACTCCAATGTTGTTAAGCCCCATAGAAACATATTAAAAAGTATGATAAAAATAAAACTTTTATTCAAAGGTATTAAACTTGTAGGCACAATATAAGTATTCTTATCAAATAAAACAACAGAAGGCAAACAATAAATGTCAAACTACAATAGAGTCTATACAAATAAAGTGTCAGGATGTCATGCCGACCCCTTTTTTCAAGTCAGTATATCTAGAAAAGTAAAGATAGAAAACAGAACACAAAACCCAGACTACGTGTAAAATTAATGAATTACTATATGTACGAATATACGAACAATGTATCCAGGCACATAATAATTTTTTTGAGAATGTGCAGTGGCAGGTCAGGTGACGCCACACACCGAATTTTGGCCCCACCACCATAGATATATATGTTGGATTCATGGGGCAGGCAAAGGGGGTATACTGTATGTAAAGAGAGGTTGAGGTGCTGTGTTAGTGTGGAGTCCCAACTCTCACATGCCCCCACCTGACATGTCTAAGGTCTCCTAGCCTAGAACACCAACGGGCTTCATAATGCAGAGTGTGTACCACTATCCGCCCTTTACTGGATATTGCAGTGTTTATGCCACACAACGCCTGCACTTTAAAACTTAGCAATAAAATGCAGGTCTCATGCAGTGTGGAGCCTGCAGAGAATGCTCTCTGTTTGGAGGAGAAGCAGGTCATATATCTTTGACAGGTCATTTAATCAGGCTCTCTTCCTTACCAAAACATTTTTGTTTCCTTTCTTCGAAATTAATGGAACTTCCCATGGCAAGCAAAGCACATCACTGTGCTGTAGAAATGTGACTTTTTCAAAGCAGCAGTAATATGCAAGGACTGGTGCACTGGTTTATAAATGCGCCCTAAAAAGGCTATTTATACACATTCTCTAAGTAATCTTAGTGCATGAGACTTTTGTAGGTGCAGTACATGATTATACCATATAGAGGTTTTTATATTTGCCAAGACTTTTCATAACAATTCTGTATTAGGCCACAAATGCGGTAGTTACAATGTATCGGTCTATAATTTTTTTAGGCCAGGCTTGCGAGAGAACTTAACATTTACTACTAGTGACAAATCAAATTTTATTTTTGGGCAAAGCTGAGGCTCAGTATGTCAAACACACATCGTTATCGATCGAGGCCAGTGCCCATAATGCACTGCATGTTTCCTCTCTGTCCAAGTGTTCACCCTTCTAGTGTTAACACCTGCATGTGACACTAGTGACAGCTTGCTTCTCTTTAAATGCCATGTCAGACACACATCCTGCTATAGCCGCGGGTAGCGTGGGGCCTGTGTGCATTATTACAACGGCATGAGTTTATTTTTAATGAGGACGATATGCATGGTGAGAATGAACGGACAGGCTTGCCTCACATCAACTTGGCCAGAAACAGGAATCACTGACAAATGTAGATATTTCAAATTTAATTGACATTTACATTTAAATCTTAAGAATATAGTTAGGAAGTAGAATAAAACACAACTTGCATTTACCTAACATTACTGGTTGAAGTACCATTATTTGAAATAAATGCTGATTACTGTAGAGCAATAAACATGCCCACCGAAGGAGGGAGAAGACTGCTTTAAAACAACATTTGTAGTGACAGCAATCAAAGATAAGCTTGCAGAAGGAGCGTAATCAGAATAATGAATCATGATTTCTAATGGGTCAACGTGAAATACTACACACATTGCGCTTAAAGCATATCTAAACACAGGAACAAAAAACATTTGTATATTGTAGCTTACAAGTCCTTGGATGAGGTGGCTGCATTAGATTTCTTATTTTCAGGGTTTTTTCTTGTATTTATATCTAGTGATCCTGCCAGTAATACACATTCTGTCCTAGGGTGACAACGCTCACTTAATGCACAGGATTCAGGGAGAAGCTGCATTGTCACCCTAGGAATAGACTAAATAATCCCTCTTCCTTGCTTCTTCTCCATAACATACTCCAGAGGGAAGGGATTCTGTAGCCCTTTAGCTGGAACAATGTAACTGATAAATGTGTAGCAAAGGCACAGAGCACAAAGTTATTCCGCACAAGTCGGATAGTGTAGCTCCCAATTGGTACTGTGCTTCCGCCAGCTGGCCGCTTTGTTACAACTGTACCTTCTGTGTAGTGGCCAGTGGGAGGAACGGACGATAAACTATCTCACAGTAGATGTAGGAATTAAAGCGCCACATCAATTAAAATAGTTCACATACAACTTTATTCCATTAGGGTCAGGGGGGGCAACGAGTAGCCAACACATTTCCAAGTCCAAAACACCCCCCCCCTTCATCAGGGCATAATGAGAGAAACCAAGTATGTGGACTACAAACCCTGCAGCTCGAACGTTGTGCTGAGTTGTGATGGGAGTACTTCAAGCTTGTCAGCAGATGGTTTGGTAACAACGGTTGCTGAAGTACTCCTTGTGGAAGCTGCCTACCAATTAGCCAGATAACACATGTTCACATCCCTTAACTATTATTGGACAAAAATCACCAAGAAAATAATTGCACCGGTCCACTTCAAGATAAACTATCTCACACACCTTGGAAGTGCTGTATATCAACCGCACCTGGAGTTCTTCAAGAAAGGGAAGATTTAAAATGCCACATGTCGGACAAGTATGTTTTAATATAGCAACAGAGTTGCCTGAAGAATACAAGATTACCTGGTACAAGTATCTTAATTCTGTTCACAAACATATTTTTGTTGCATTTACCATTGATTTTCTCAATAGCTATAACAGCTGAGGCTCCTGCAGAAAACTACAGGTGGGGGGGAGATACAAGACCAGTCGCCCCACACAAGGAGAGAGCAGCAGTAACCAGTCTTTCTTACAGGAAACTTACACAAAAACAAAGTGCAGGAACTGTTTCATGCTGGATTACTACACAGATCTGTACAAAAAAAAATCACAAAGGAGACCAAGTTTTAAGTAAGAACACACATGATTCTTGCATTTATACTAGAATTGTTTAGCTCGGACTTCAACTGTCAAGTAAACCCGTTGAAAGGCTGGGCAATTTAAAGGTGTTCTAAAGCCTCCGTTTTTTTTTGCCTATATCTACTGCTGGAAGTAGATCTACTGGAAGATTCTTTTGGACTCTTTGATCTCCTGGCTGCACAAGAATGTCTGTAGGAAGCTGCTCAATGTACAAAGCAGATACTGACCTCCTCTACAGCTGTACTCCAATGGACATAATTGCCCACTGGGATGGGAAACTGTAAACAGCTTGCAGTGGCCTGTGTCTAAAAGGTAAACAGGGAATAGGGAAACCAGACAAAAAACGGAGTGGGTTATGCAAAAGATCAAATATTTCGAACAGCCCTACTGATAATGTCATCTTCATGTTGATATGTTGACTCCTCTCCTGTGAGATTAGTTTTCACATGCTGTCCATCACAACATCATCATAACTTACCACCAATTAGATTAAAGATGCAGCTCCCCAGTGTATATACCAGAGCTGTCAGCGGAGCTTATAAAGCTCCTAAAGTAGTTAAAATATGACAATCTAAATGTGTACTTAAAGCTGTACAAGCACTGAGCTTTAAATCAATAACCTTTACCATACTGCCTGAATGTTGACATATTGTGCAATGCTAACCAAAGCAAGTGTTTTTTTTTGCCTTTTTATTTAACATGGTGCCAGCAAATGTTTTTTCTCAACTTCAAGTTAGTTTCTTTTTGCCAGGAAAGGGCAATGGGGCATAGGGCCTGGTTGTACACAGATACCCTCCGAGCACTCAAATGACAAATAATAGAGCCTCCGCTATCCCCTTGGCCTTCGAGAGGAGAATTACTGAGGACTACAGAGTCCCGGCGGCAAAAGTCACCGGGAGTCTGTTTAAACAGCCCCGATGCTGGCGATGTACACTGTACGTCGTCAGTCACAAAGGGGTTAATGTCAACATAAAGAAAAATTGAGTCCTTTTATAAATCGTGGACCCAGGATCTGGGGTTCTCTCAAAGTCCAAAATAACTAATTTGAAGACAAGCAAAATTACTTATGGGCACTACATGGTACCTGAACTTTATCACCTTCAGTGCCTAACCTCATGCTGACAACATGCTGTTTACTCTTATCTTGTAAAGTGACAAAGTGACACATTTAGCTTATTTGGGTTGTAGATCCTCAAATTATCTCTGAACTGGTGCTGACACTGTCCTTCCTTCTGGTGGTTGGATACTTTTGTTCCCTGTGTGTGTTGTAAAGTAGCCATAGCTCCAAGCTTACTGCCATGAAAGACTATAATTTCAATACAAATTAGTACCTTCAACGTGAGATTGTAATCTATCATGGGAGTGAGCTTTGAGCATTGGCTAATTTACAACACCCACAGGGAACAAAAATAGCCACCCTCCAGAAGGAAGGACAGTGTCAGCACAAATTCAGAAATGATTTGAAGATCTACAGCTGAGTGATTCACAAATAAGCTACGATTTTGTTAATAGTTAGGGTACCTGAATGCATTTAAAAGCTTTAACTCCTAAGTTTAGTGTCACTTTAAGTTGATTAAATATCAAAATGAATGATCATACTAGGCTTCATTTAATAAAGTAGATGAAGTACAAAACAAGAAAATACAAACATTTCATATTTTCACCTTTCGAAGTGTCACCAGTATAGGTTTAAATATTGAATATAATTGTTGATATGGAGCAAAACAATTTCTATTTGACACACTTTA